GTAAGGTGCTGACTAGGATGTGTTCCTGCCACTGCTTAGCCTGCTCCAGGATTTACTCTGCCTTTACTCAGTCATGCAACTCAGGCACATCCTTGTCCCTGAAAACTTTTCCCCTGTACCAGATCTCATCTCAGTGAGCACACGCTGCTCCCAGTTGGTTCTCCCATGCGCTGAACTACCTTTGTGGTTTAGATGTTGCTTTAGAATGAGAAGAACAACCTCCTCAGTTCCCTTGGCTAGACAGACCAGGGCTCCATCATCTGTGCTACTCATGTCTGCTCAGACAAACCTCTGTCTTTGCTTGCTTCCAGAACTGCTCCTTCAAGCAGCTGTTTGCTCATTACCATGTGCTTGGACATCCCACTAGAGACAACACGGAGTAGAAGTGTTGCAGCATGGAACCACTGCTGTAACAACGGGACGTTAATCAAAGGCATTCCCAGCACAGTGAATCCCGACCAGAGCTGTGTGCAGACTCAGGGTTGGATCTCTTTGGCGTGCTTAAGGGGAATGAAAAATGGAGATCAACATTGCAAACAGCACCCTGAGGAGTAGGTTGGGTTTCTTACTGGCAGGGAGTCAACACTTTCGCAGAATACACCCAAAACATTGTTATTGTGATTTGCTTAACCACTGCTCACAAGGAAAATACATTGCCTCTGGGCTTCTGTGGGATAAAAGGAGGCTGACTTTTTTTCTTCACAGCTAAACCAAACTGCAAAGATACCGCTGGTCCCAGCTGTTATCATATGAGGGTATTTTTCCTTGTGAAAGATCAGCACAAATCTTGAATAAGACTCTTGGATAAGAGTACGCGAGCTTGTCTTAGCTTTTGGGGCAAAGTGAATTCCCTCTACTTAGGGCATTTTGTTCTGTGATGTCTAACTGATGCACAGATGAACTTGTTCTCCTCCTACCCATTGCCAATGTACACAGAAATAACAACTGTGTGGGACTCAGAACAATGCCAGTTTGCTGTAGGCATGGACCCTAAAAGTCTTTTCAGCCAACCAGCTCCCATTATATTTAAACAGCTCTGTTTCCATGCTCTAGGATGTTTCTACTCTTTAGTAGGTAATCCAGGTCTAAAGCTGCCTGCCTCTCTTGGCTGAGTTTATTGCATGACACTCAGGACTGTTCAGCTCACTTGGATTCTGGAAAAATGCAGAGCCTGCTGAAAGGTACCTGATTTAAGGAACCTGGAGAAGTAAGTGCTTTTATTTACTGCTTGAGCAGGTATCATGACTGAAGACTTAGTTACTAATGGCTAGGACAGTGTCCTCTACCTGAATCCCCTCCAAGGGCCTTCTGCCCTGGAGAGTCCACTCCTGTTCCCAGGACTCACATGATCTTTGCCTTCCAATTCCTCCTTTTATCCAGAGGATGCGAATGTAGGATATCCACTGGAATGGCAGGTTTGGGATGGTGCAAGTAGAAATAATCTGAGCCTACCCCACAAGCTCAGTTCATTCCAGGGAGACAGTCCTCAGTCAATGTTGGGCTGGTCCATAGTGAAAGCAGTGACCTACTCTAGGAGGGGCCTGGGTGCACAGTCCCATGGTTATTTGTTCTTGCAGGAAACATTCCTCTAACTGAACAAGAATATGCTTCAGAGAATGGACTTCAGTTCCCCCCAAAGCTCAAAGATATTTCAAAGTGCAGAAGCTGTGTCTGCTTCAAGTTCCCTGCAGTGCCTCATGTGATAGCAGTGACTCATCTGTAACCTGGAGATCTTCTCCAAAGTGCAGGTTAAGCCCTTTTCCTCCTCCTTCACTGGCTGTTTACCCTCAAATCCGTTTCTCCTTGCCTGACACAGAGCCAGGGGATGCCTCGCCTGTGTGGATTTTTGGGCATGGCTGGCTTAGATTGAGCAGGCAAAGGTTAATTTTATAGGATGTCTTTTTTGCCTTAGATCCTACAGGTCATGTGAAGAATGTGTGTGATATTCACAAATACCATTCTTTGTACTGCCTTAGAGCCAGGCAAGGTAAATAATAGAAGAGTGGAGATGAAAACAGTGATGCGTTCATATTCGTTGATTTTAGTGTCAGAAGGGACCATTCTGGGCTGATCTCCCGTGTATGTAGGCTCCTTAAACTTCACCCACTTACCTCTCTGTTAAGCCCATTAACTTGTGTTTGCCTAAGCCATGTCTTCCAGAGATGCTTTCAAGTCTGGACTCCAAGATACCAAGGGATAGAAACTCAGGTTCTTCCCTTGGTACTGCTTCCACTGACCCGTTGCCCTCTGTTTAAAATGTGGGGGTTTTTTCCCATTTCGGTTTGTTTGGTGTATGGCTCCCAGCTGTTAGTTCTGGTGATGACTTTCTGTCAGATCAAAGAGCCCTTTAGCACCAGAAGCTTCTTCTTGAAACAATACTTGTGCCTTGTTGTCAGCTTCTCAATCTTTTGGGTTTTTTGCATGGTGTTGTTACAATAATTAGATTTGGACCTCCTAGTCTGCCCCCATAAGGCATTTCCTCCAGCCCTCAGATCCTTTCTGGCGGATATATTCTGTGCCATCTTTCTCTGGTATCCTTATGCCAACCCAGACGTGCACACAGTATTCCCAATGCTCACCACTAATGCACAGAGAGGTAATCCTGTTCCATTTTACGGGTGGCAGTAGCTCTCCTGAGCGAATCTTTCTAGGACACAACATCCCATTGTCAGGCATGTATAATGTGTAGTGTACATCTATATTTTTGTATTTGATTCTATTAAAATATAGTCTATTTGGAAACACACTGAATCTAATACTGACCCATTAAAGTACCTCCTTCAACATCAGTGTCCCTCAGATGGCTTCTTTTCGAGACCTGCCAGCTAGGCTTCTGCTGAGCCATCTCAATGTAAGAACTACTGACTTTATATATCCTCATAACATGGAACCCTATGAAAGTCAAACCTTATCAAAATCTAATTACATTATTATGTTACAACCATGCAGGCAGCTTTATCAGGCAAACTTAGAATCATGCCAACTAATAAAATCAAGTTTGGAAGCATCTGGTTTATATACAAGTGCCTCAACTAAGATTAATATTACACTTATTCTTCAGTGCTTAATGAGTTGAAGTCTGTATCAGATTTTCCATTATTTTGCCTGGAATTTATGTCAATCAAACCAGCGTGTATTTATGAGGCTCATCCTTGTATGTCTTGGCTGACTACTGGCACCGTGCTTCAGTACTCGGGACCTGCCCCAGTGCTCCAGTGCAGATTATAAATGAACATCAGTGGGCCAGGAATTTAGTCAGCCAGCTCTTTAAGGACTCTTGGGTACGGCTGTTTAGCCAAGCTGATTTCAGACTGTTTATCCGTAGCAGATGGTGTTTCCAATTCTCCTCGTTTACCGATGAGCAGAAGGCAATTCATTGCCCCCCACAGCCCATACTATGGGCACGTCCCCCTGTCGTTATCCCCGTCATTGACTGCCAAATGCTCTTCTGCAGCATGGAAGTTGACTTGGTCCTGGTCACCGGTAGAGGGAAATGGTGAAGTCAACCATCCTGCTGCAGAAGAGGTTCGTAATACATTGCTTATGCCGATGTCATTCCTAACACGAGAGACACCCAAACAGACACACAACTCCATGGGTGCTCCCTGAGGTGGGCACTTACCTGATATTTTATTTCCCAGGCCCAGCAGAAATTGAGGTGTATCCGTTTGACCTTGTTCATCCCTACAGCTGCAAACTCAAGCCTCCATGCATCTCTGACAGTGTGTTCAGGCCCTGTTCTCCTCTATTTTCTGCCAGCATAGCTGTCTCTATTAACTAACGATTTCAAAAATATAAGGTTTTGTGATGTGTCAGGTTAAAATGAATGAGTGCACGGAGGTCAATTTTTTCATAAGTGAAAGGTTAATGCTGGACTATACAGGATGAGGTTTATTTTTGGCCTTTTCTTGTGCCAGTATATTTAATAGACTTTTCTGCAAGGTCGATAGGCGTATACTCCGAATGCTCCCTGTCAGCTGAAGTCAGCTGGGATCTTTCTAGATCACAGGAGTTAAACAGCCAATATTTGGACAGGTGACCTCAAAGGAAACACCAGTGATTCAGTAGGTGTGGTCTTTCCTTCTGAGTCAGCGCTGAAATGTGACACCAAAAGATGCTGTGTTGCTGGAGGACAAGGTTTTTACTTGAAATATTAAAAACAACTTGAACATTTGTGGCTGTTTAAAATCCCGTGATTTTATACTGGTTGATAATCCAGTTAGGATTAATTCAGTTGGCCTTCCTATACTCCTTCTGCCATTCAATGTCAGGAGGATGCTCCTTTCCTTTCCTAAACCTTTCAGAAGTAGCATATTGCCCTGAATAATTGAGGGATCCCAAGAGGATATTTTTAGAGTGGAGCTAAGATGCCCAGAATTGTATCCTGTGGATTTCTTGTATGAGGTTCCATTTGCAGTTAAGGCTATGTATGTTGTCAACACACAAGTATTGAACCAAAGCATCATAACCTTTGGCTTTTCCACTATATAGAGCACAGATTTTGCTTCGGAGTATTTTAAGGTATACAGAATGCATCCAATCATCTGGCCTGAGAGTCAGCGTGGGCTTGGATGGAGGATGCTGGTGAGGGGCAGCTCCTATTCTGAGGCGAAGGCTTAGTGGATATGATGTTCCCTCTTGAGTAAATACATAATAAGTGTGAAGATCTGATGGAAAATTGTCTTTCTGCTCCACAGGAAAGATTGAATCAGAAGAGAGAGAACGGGAGAGCAATGTAATAAGTGATCTATAATAACACTTCAGTCTCTTGTACATAGCAGAGCATCTTATTTATTTGTCTCACGGACTCATTTCCTGAAGCAAGAGGCACTTTGAGACAGCGTCCTTCCCCAAGGACCGGCTTTCACTGCCAGTCACATGTAGGAGGCTTAAGGGGCAGCTAAAAGCATCGCGCTGCCCCGCAGCAGCATCCTCACCACTCGACTCCCGATGAACACACAGCTGTCATAAATCCTTTCTCCCTGTGTTGTCTCTTGCAGGTAAACTATGACCACTTTACTATTGGTGTTTGTGTGTTTGCGAGTCATCACAGCAGCCGTCTCTGTGGAGCTCTCAGGTACGTGCCCAGGGGCTGAGCAATGTGCCACACTCTGGTCCCATCCCCAAGCATGGGCAGCTGCCAGAAATAAGTGTACCCAAGATCTGCTCTGTGTACACACAGGGCTGCTCTATTTGGACGGCTGCTATGCCATAGCTTCTCACTGTTCTTGTGCTCAGGGAGCCACAGAGATAGCTCCAGGCAAAGGCAGATTTTTGGGGAAACTGAGGGATTTTCAGCATTCCCCTTTTTAAACCCTATCAGGTGTGATCTCGTAGCACGGGCAGCAGCTACACTGCTGTAGGGCCCTTCATTCCCTACATTCCCACATCCAGCACTGGTCCAAATCCCGAAAGCAACCACGGCACAATGGTCATGGTTGTAACCTCCCTTCCTGCAAGTTATTTTCAGCAGACTAGACCAAAAACAGTATGAGGGCCTGAGTATGGGGGTACAGATTTGCAAAGGAGATATAAGCATTGTGGAAGCACTGGGGATTGTGGATTAAATGTGTTATTGATGTAACCATGGCTTTGTTTGGGAACTGGCAGACAGTAGTGATGGCCTGGAAGTGAAGATACCTGAGCAGTCTCCCCTGCGTGTTGTCCTGGGAAGCTCCCTGAACATCCCCTGTTACTTCAACATCCCAGAGGAAGAGGACACCAGTGCTCTGCTGACCCCAAGGATCAAATGGAGCAAACTCTCAAACGGGACCGAAGTTGTCTTGCTAGTGGCCACCGGCGGGAAAATCCGGCTCAACACTGAGTACAGGGAGGTGATCTCTTTGCCCAATTACCCCGCCATCCCCACCGATGCCACTTTGGAAATCAAGGCGCTGAGATCCAACCACACTGGGATTTATCGCTGTGAAGTGATGTATGGGATTGAGGACAGGCAAGACACAATAGAGGTCCTAGTGAAAGGTGAGATATTGACCTTGCTCTTTCCTCTCAAGATCTTGCTGCCTGGCCTGCCCAGAAGGGAGGAGGGAATATATGGGCAGGGGAGGTACTGCTCTCCCCATAGGCATAAACCCTTTCATTCAGGTCCCAGATAAGGTGATGGGTAAGTGAGCAGAAGCCATGGGGCAGGCATTTATTTTAGCAGCTAGGACCAGACTAAACAAACCAGTAAAATGACTCATGGCAGAATATATGGCAATAAAATGACTCTTCTGGCAGAAGGTGAGTTACAGAGAGAGCAAGACGACATCCTTGGCAGGAGGTGGTACTGGATACGTTGGGCTGCTGCTCCGAGGGCTGAAGCTGGAACAGGACTCTTATAAGACCTTTTATTTCTTCCAAACATTTTAGGAGATGGGATGCCCTCAGCTGGAGAATTGGTCTGTTCTAGAAAAACTTTCCCCATCGCCTTGCAAAGCTCATCCTAGTAATAGGTGGATAAAATAACAAAAGTTTCCTACAATCCTTATCTTCATCATGGTTTTTGCTTTCAGCGTAGGACAGGGAGACAGCCTCCAGTACAACAGTTAACTGGCCAGTCTCACATGCACTGGAGAACACATCTGACAGTGGAGGCTGGGAGCCCCCTCATTGCCTCCTGGTGAATTTTCCACTTGACTTCAAGCCTGCTTGTGCCACACCAGAGTGTAGCAATAGCCATCCTTTGTAAAGATCCCCGTTCATCAGAAAAAATACAACTTGGATATGCTTACAGTAGATCTGGAGATTTTAAGTGTATTTGCCTCTTGCTGTTGTTTCCTGCGTGCTTTACAGTGATTGACAGTGCACTCTTGGTCCCAAGCAGGACCTTGGGAGGTGGCAACTTCCAAGCCTGCCCAGCAGCACAGCCCCTGCTCTGTCCCACTGGCTGATTTATGAACCATGTGTTTAAAATGCTGCACAGAGCTCTGTCAGGGAAATCTTGAATCCTCCTGATGGTGTTATAGCTCTGTATTCTGGGCTATATCCTCCCACTGTTCACACTACTGGTTTTTAATACACCATGAATTTACTACAGTACCATGGGAGGGCAGTCGCTGTCCTAGCTCACCAATGTGCTCCTCAAGGTCCTGTGAAAGGGACCCATCAATTCACCCTTGGCTTGAGATGCTCAAACACAGACAATCAGCATAAATAACTCATTGTTTCTAGTTGATATGTAGTATCTGTTCTTTGAATCCATAACTGGAAGGAAAGGGGCTGGTTGCTCTCCAGCAGACGTGTGAGTGATGGCCATTGTGTTTTCCAGGCATCGTATTCCACTACAGAGCAATCTCCACAAGGTACACCTTGAACTTTGAGAAAGCAAAGCAGGCCTGTATCCAGAACAGCGCTGTGATTGCTACTCCCGAGCAGCTGCAGGCTGCCTACGAGGACGGGTACGAGCAGTGTGACGCCGGCTGGCTGGCGGATCAGACTGTCAGGTAATGCACGGTGGAGGGCAAAGGAAAGCCACAGCAGGGTCGTTAGGGAAGGACTTCTGTAATGAAGCCACCGACCGAGAATGGTTGAGAATCAGTTGCTACATGGGAGCTGTTGTAATTGCTGGTGTGCAGAGGGAGGTGGTGGGATTGCAAGCCGTTCTCTGCCATGGGGGAATCTAGAGTAGGAAGGCAGAGTGACCACTGTCCTCCTCACCTGGTGGTGACAGCTGAGTGGACAATGGTTCAATCCTGATCCTTCATCCTCCATGAACAAAACAGGTGCTACACCAAAATGCACAAGTGGGGCTCAACCATACCAAGTTTTACATCCCTGGCTGTGGACACACCTTGGCCTGATGTCTTTGGCCAGTGCTGCCAGGGTTCTGCTGTGCTTGAGACCATCAGAAGGAAGGCAGAACAGCAGATCATCCTTTCTCTTCCCCATAACCCAAGAAAATCCATAAATCATCACACTGTGCAGTGCTCCATAGCTCCCCCCAGCCTCCCTGCAGCTGCTGGGGTCCTGCTCCCACCTCTTACACACCCTCTCTCCCCCAGGTACCCCATCCACTGGCCCCGGGAGCGCTGCTATGGCGACAAGGATGAATTTCCAGGAGTGAGGACCTACGGTGTCCGCGAGCCAGATGAAACCTATGATGTTTACTGCTATGCAGAGCAAATGCAAGGTGATTTGATGCTTTTATTGTTACTAGATGCAGAAGCAGCCAAAGCTCTGATCGTGTCTGGACTGGACAACAGTAAATACAGAGGCAAAGGGCCTTGAGGCAAGACAGGTTAGATGGAAAAGCACATCCCCCAGCAAGACCAGATGTTCTCTGCAGTCTTTTTGTTAGACCTTGGACAATTATAATGTCAAATGACTCATGCAATACAGAGGGTGGAGTCCATCTGACCTCCACTGCAGGCCATGCCATCCTGCGTGTCTCTGGTCATCCATTTGAGGGAATGACATTCAGAGGTGTCCATCACCCATGCTTACAGCAGGGATCCATTGAAAGAGTCAGCACATCAGAACTGAAATTGTCCTTTATCTTCCACTTGTCCTGTGGTTCCAGATAGTTTGGTATGTTTTGCTCTAGTTTGTATTCGATCTGTAAGAGTCCCTTTCTTCTGGTCTGTATAGACAGTCACCAACACGGGGTTGCAGTTCAGCTGTAATACACTTTTCATCTTTTCCAAACTCTCAGGAATGGGAAGGGGGAAGAAAGGGAATTCGGATTAAATTCTACAGCTAATTCCTATGCTAATGGATGGTGTGATTGCAGGTAAAGTCTTCTATGCCACCGCCCCCGAGAAGTTCACCTTCCAAGAAGCTTTCGACAAATGCCGCAGTTTGGGAGCCCGTTTGGCCACCACGGGAGAGCTGTACCTGGCCTGGAAGGATGGCATGGACATGTGCAGCGCGGGCTGGCTGGCCGATCGCAGCGTCCGCTACCCCATTTCCAGAGCACGGCCCAACTGTGGAGGAAACCTGGTGGGTGTGCGGACGGTGTACCTCTACGTCAACCAGACGGGGTACCCGCACCCCGACTCTCGCTACGATGCCATCTGCTACAGCGGTGAGTGCACTGGGGCTGTGGGACTAAGCTTCTCCAAGCTTCTGCAGGCAGGAGCTCCCTAGCCAGAGCTAACCTCTTGCTTCTTTCTTTCTTACATTTTTCTTTTTTTAAAAAGGAGAGGGGGGAGAAGCAGGTTTGACAAAGGAAAGGTAGGAAGCAGATCCAGAAAATTCACGGATGCCTGCCCCGTACAGGGGGGCTCTGAGGAGGAGGATGTAACAGCCCTCCAGTCCTCCCACACCTTCCAGCTTTGACAGTTTTCCTGGAGACATGGAGCAGAGCTCAGGTGTTTCATGTACAAGACTTGGAATGCTGGAGATGGAAGGGAAGGAAAAGAGAACAGATCTGCCCACAACCATGTGTGTAATGTTGTTAGGTGGTGCAGGCATGAGCCTGAGTTTCTACTCTGGGACAGAACAAGGACTGCAGCAGTCTCTGGCAATCAGAAATAGGGCAAAATTGCATCTAGGAAGTGGAGAGCATCCCAGCTATTCCCCCTTTCTTCTTATTGCACTCTTCTCCCCGCAGCAAGAAAGCACCATGGTATATGGTATATTCAGGAGAGCCAAAGGCTAACATTCAAATGGGATTGCCATCCATGGAAAATTGATAACAGTATTTTAAAATATGTTTTGAAACCCCTTTGATACCAACCTATCATGCCCAGATGCATGCATGATCAGTGTGTCAGGAGGCCCTGTAAAACCTCCTAGACCCCTTGGAATAATCCAGCTACGTGGCCAAGCTAAAGACTGGTCCACCAAGCCACAGCCTTCTGGTTATCTCAGGGCACGCATCTGAAACTGCTGAGCACAGCCAGTCTTTTCCTGAGCGTCTCTTTCTAATTCTCTGAATCCCTTGAGGTCTGAGAGGTACTGGCTAAAATGAACCAGCAGGAAAATGGAATTGGAAATAAATAGAGCAGGGAAAGCAGTATTAGGGGAAAAGCTGACAGTGTCTCATTATCTCTCCCTCCCCACTAAGACCTGCCTCACTGCATAGCTGAGATGTTCCATCCCTCCCTAACCTGCCTGTCCTTGCTGTAGGGTGACCTGCTCAGTGGCTCGTTAAGTGTTCTCCTACAGCCAGGGACATGAGCGAAAAAGTGATTTGGGAGGGGAAAGGTGGGAAGTTCTTTGAATGTATTTGGTACAGGAAGAAACTGCCTTGGCTACCTTGGTGATGGGGTTAGGACTTATATGTGATGAAGTCTTCACTGAGGCAGAGCAGAAGGAGATGATAGTGATCCTAGTAAGACATGATGCATTGTGTGTGAGGATCCAATTATCTTTCTCCCACGGCTCAGACCTGCTGTGGAAGTTATCCAAGATCCTCCTTCCCTCTGGCCACCTTACATTCCTTACAGCAGGCACTAGAGGTCAGTGCAGACTTGGATATGAGCAAGGTGTTCCCGGGAAGGAGAGCTGGGAGTAGAGCAGGGAAGGTCGTCTCTGATTTACCAGCTGTGGAGCATGAGGTGACTCATTGCCTCTAACTCATGAACATGCCTTTCACGCTGAGATGTTGCAGAGAGCCACAGTGGAGGAAGGAAACCAATTTATTTTACCAGACTGTCATGATTTCCCTACCAGCAAACACCCAGCTTCTTCGTGAAGTCTAGACCTTGCTAGACTGACCATGTCTTCTCTGATTGCTGCCTTGTCTCCTGATGTAGGGGACGACGTTGAGATTCTGGTCCCAGGGCAGTTCATCGACGAGACGGGAAGCGAGCTGGGCAGTGGTTTCACTGTCCAGACTGTCACCCAGACTGAAGTGGAGTTACCTCTGCCCCGCAACGCCACCGAGGAGGAGGCCCGTGGCAGCATCGCCACCCTGGAGCCCATTGAGATCACACCTACTGCCACTGAGCTCTACGAGGGCTTCACTGTCCTGCCCGATCTCTTCGCCACTGGTGCCACAGTAGAGACAGCTGCCCCAGGGGAGGAGAACATGACCAGGGGGGATGTCACGGGGGTGGGGACTGTGCCTGAAGAGGTCACCACCATAGCCTTAGGCACTGCCATCACCACCGAAACGGCAGAGGTGAGCTCGGTGGAAGAGGTTGTGGGGGTGACTGCCACACCAGGACTAGAGTCTGCCTCAGCACTCACAGTGGAAGATCAGCTCATGCAAGCGACAGCAGCCCCCGGTGTTGGTCTCCTCCCTAAGCAGCCCATCTCCCCCACGGGTAAGTCACCAGGACTCCGAGAAGCCTGAAGATCAGTTTCTTCTAGGGGTAATAACCATTCTGCTGAAAAACAGCCTGAGCTTCTCTCATCGCTGAGGGCATCCAAGTCCCTGGAGGTGTGCAAGCCTCTGAGGTCAGGGACAGGCTGAGTGCCTCCACTGTGGCAGGACAGGAAGAGTGAGGAGGACCCTGTGGGCCACTCCATCATGTGCAGAGAAGGGTTCAGTTGCTTGATGCTTGGGGCTGCAGTGGCTACATTCTGCTCTCCCACATGTGTTTAGCTCCAGGGAAGGGGAAAGTCAAGGCAGGAAGATCCCAGAGGAGGGCTAAAGAGACCCCCAGAATATCACCCTCAATGGAAGCAGAGCCCAATGAATGAGGCATCTCCATCAAAGTGGATTTGACAGGCACCGGTCCTAGCACTGCTGTTGGGAAGACACTTTCTGGTCACTCATCTCAGTGGAGGTGCTGTCCCATATTTGCTCTCTCACGGCAGCTTCTCTTCCCCCAGGTGTGGTGTTTCACTACCGTGCCGCTACCAGCAGATATGCCTTCTCCTTCGTCCAAGCCCAGAAGGCATGCCTGCAGAACAACGCCGTTATTGCCACTCCTGAACAGCTCCAGGCTGCCTACGAGGCTGGCTTTGACCAGTGTGATGCCGGCTGGCTGCGGGACCAGACAGTCAGGTAAAACTATATTGACTTGGGGAAGACCCCCCTCAAAATGAAATTGGGGCTTTACTCTGGTTTGTCTCAGAGATGAGATGCTCCGCGCATCAACATCTAAAGCTTTCCTGACCTAAGGTTGTCTCCAAGCTATGATATCTAGGGGCCAATAGACCTGTTCTTCTCAACCAGTCCTACCCATTTCCTAACCCGTGTGTACATCCTGCAGTGGTGAGCTCCCCTGACATGCAGGAAAAGTGGAGGAAAATTTGTATTCATTGCCCCAAGCTGTAAGTGGACTTGTTTCCAAGTCATGCTGGGGGCTCTGAGTACCTCTAATGGTGAAGTGTTCTTGTCCTGCTCCCAGGTATGCTGAGGTTCTTCAGGCCAGGGTACATAAAGCAAACCTTGGATTACCATCTCTCTTCTTCTTTTGGTAGGTATCCCATTGTGAATCCCCGAAGTAACTGCGTAGGAGACAAAGAGAGCTCTCCAGGCGTGCGGTCGTATGGCATGCGCCCAGCCTCAGAGACCTACGATGTGTACTGCTACATCGACAGGCTCAAGGGTAACTTTTCGCCCCTCCTCTAGGCATGGCTGTGGAGCAAAACTGTGCTTCCCAGCTCCAGATCTCTGTGTGGGTGGGTGGGATGAAGGGACTCATGCCTGCTTTCTCTCCCATCCCTCAGGCGAGGTGTTCTTTGCAACTCAGCCAGAGCAGTTCACCTTCCCAGAAGCTCAGCGGTACTGCGAGAGCCAGAACTCCACGCTGGCCTCTGTTGGCCAACTCCATGCTGCCTGGAAGCAGGGCCTGGACAGATGCTACGCTGGCTGGTTAGCCGATGGCAGCCTCCGCTATCCCATCGTGAGCCCCCGTCCTGCCTGCGGGGGGGATGCTCCTGGCGTGAGGACTGTCTACCAGCACTACAACCAGACTGGCTTTCCCGACCCCCTGTCCCGACATCACGCCTTCTGCTTCAGAGGTACCCTCCCACCCATTGCAGGGCATGTAGACCCGTCTCCTTGGGGAAAGGGAGGTTTGGCACATCGGGGTGCCAGTTTGGGCAAAGCACTTCACCAGCATCTTGGACCGTGAATTTTTGGAAACTCCTTCCAATACCTTTTTGTTCCAGCTCTGCCACCTGCGGAGGAGGAGGGGGTCACCTCATTCTTTGAAGAAGATGTGCTGGCAACCCAAGTGATCCCTGGAGTAGAGGGGGTACCCTCTGGGGAAGAGGTGACCGTGGAGACGGAGTTTGCCACTCAACCTGAGAGTCAGACAGCCTGGGGGACAGAGGTCTTTCCAACAGACGTGTCGCTGCTCTCAGGTGGGTCAGAGCTTCCCTGTCTCCTGGGTCGCACTTGGCTGGTGTTGTAGGGTTGGGATAACCCCAAAACAAATGGGCTGGGTCCTTGCTGAAGAGAACTCCCTCTAAATCTAGACTATTATCACCATATTAGCGAAGTCTGAGGCTGTGCACACAGGAAGAGCTACACATGCATATTATTGAACTTTTCCCTAGGACTGAACTAAATGACCAACAGACCAACACACACAGCATTGCCAGAGCACCTTACGAAATATGCCGTTGTGTATCTGGGATGGGGAAGGGAGGCTAGAAACAGATCTCAGGCCATGCCTTCTAGGGAGGAGAAAGCACCAAATTTTTTTTTCTTCCACTATATCTCCAAGGAAGCGGTAGCTCAGCACCTGGGAATTGGTGTCACTGTTGCCATCATCCCCTGTCAGAAGACTATATATATCTTCTGACAGTTTCCCAGAGATATTTAATTTATAGTTCTTTAATATATAATGCTCATTTAACAAATTTGAAGGGACCAAATTATTTCTGCAAGCACATAGGACTTTGTGCCTTTATCCCAAAACATTGTTTTGGAGGTGAAGTCAATCGGGAAATTAATAATAGCTTCTTTGAAACAACTTAGTAAATAATTTTCCTATTCCCTCTCTTTGTTTGCTCTTTTTTTTCCAGTGAGTCCATCTTCTTTTCCTCCAGCTACTGTAATACCAGAGGAAACGAGCACCAATGCTTCCATCAGTGAAGTGTCAGGGGAGGTGACTGAATCTGGAGAACATCAAGTCAGTGGTGAATCTTCAACATCCGGGTGGGTATCTGGAATCCCAGATACAAGTGGAGAACCAACTTCTGGAGTTTTTGAACATAGTGGAGAACACTCAGGGATCGGAGAAAGTGGATTACCATCGGTAGATCTGCATACCAGTGGCTTTCTACCTGGAGAAAGTGGGCTACCCTCAGGGGACTTGAGTGGGGTGCCTTCTGGCACTGTTGACATCAGTGGCTTATCTTCTGCAGAGGAAGATGTATCAGTGTCAATTTCAAGGATACCAGAAATTAGAGGGATGCCATCTGGAGTGGAAAGCAGTGGGCTGCCTTCTGGATTTAGTGGAGATATCTCTGGCACTGAGCTAGTCAGTGGCGTGTCATCTGGAGAGGAAAGTGGACTCACCTCTGGTTTTCCTACTGTCTCTCTTGTGGATACTACATTGGTGGAAGTTGTCACAACGGCTCCAGAACGACGAGAGGAGGGAAAAGGATCCATCGGAGTCAGCGGTGAAGGAGATCTGTCAGGGTTCCCATCCAGTGAGTGGGACACCAGTGGCAGAGCCCACGGATTACCCTCAGGAGCTGAGCTCAGCGGGGAGCCCTCTGGAGAGCCTGAGCTCAGCGGGGAGCCTTCTGGGGTGCCCGAGCTCAGCGGGGAGCTCTCCAGAGGGTCTGAGCTCAGCGGGGAGCCTTCTGGGGTGCCCGAGCTCAGCGGGGAGCCCTCTGGAGGGCCTGAGCTCAGTGGGTTGCCCTCAGGACTGGATGTCAATGGAGAACTATCTGGAACACATGAGGTCAGTGGCCTTACTGACCTAAGTGGCCTTACTTCTGGTATTGAAGGAAGCGGAGAGGCCTCAGGCATTACTTTTGTAGATACCAGTTTGGAGGAAGTGACAACAACCCCCTCAATTACGGGAGCAGAAGCAAAAGAGATTTTGGAAATCAGTGGATTGCCTTCAGGAGGTGAAGATGCATCAGGCATGGTATCTGGGAATTTAGACATCAGTGGTGAGCCTTCTGGGCATGTAGACTTTGGTGGGAGTGCTTCTGGAGTGCTTGAGATGAGTGGACAGCCGAGTGGAGTGATTGACAGCAGCGGAGAGGTCTCTGGAGTTGATGTCACCAGTGGCCTACTGTCTGGAGAGGAAAGTGGACTCACCTCTGGCTTTCCCACAGTCTCTCTTGTGGATACCACCTTGGTGGAAGTTGTAACACAGGCATCAGTGGCCCAAGAGGTGGGAGAAGGGCCATCTGGGATGATAGAAATCAGTGGATTTCCCTCTGGAGACAGAGGACTATCTGGAGAAGGCTCTGGAGCCGTGGAGGCTAGTGGGTTTCCTTCAGGGACAGTAGACTTCAGTGGAGAGCCGTCCGGGTTCCCGTACATCAGTGGAGACATTTCTGGAGCCACAGATCTAAGTGGAGAATCTTCAACAGTGACTGATATTAGTGGGGAGTCCTCAGGGCTTCCAGAAGTCACTTTAGTCACTTCTGATTTAGTAGAAGTTGTGACAAGCCCAACAGTATCACAGGAATTGGGTGGGGAAACAGCTGTCACATTTCCCTACAGTTTTGGGCCAAGTGGTGAGTCCTCTGCATCTGGTGAACTAAGTGGGGAAACACCTGCATTGCCAGAAAGTGGTATCGAAACATCAACAGCTTATGAAATCAGTGGTGAAACATCTGCATTTCCTGAAACTAGTCTAGAAACATCCACAATTCAAGAAATCAGTGGGGAAACATCTGCATTTCCTGAAACTAGTGTAGAAACATCCACGTTTCATGAAATCAGTGGGGAGACATCTGCATATCCTGAATTTAGCATAGAAACATCAACAATTCAAGAAATCAGTGGGGAGACATCCGCATTTCCTGAAATTATCATAGAAACATCCACACATCAAGAAGCCAGGGGTGAAACATCTGGCTATCCTGAAATTAGCATAGAAACTTCCACAGTTCAAGAAGTAAGTGGGGAAACTTCTGCATTCCCTGAAAGTAGCACAGAAACATCCACAATACAAGAAATCAGTGGGGAAGCATCTGCATTTCCTGAAATTAGAATAGAGACATTCACAAGTCAAGAGGCCAGGGGTGAAGTATCTGGCTATCCTGAAATTAGCATAGAAACATCTACAGTCCACGAAACCAGTGGAGAAACATCTGCCTTTCCTGAAATTAGCATAGAAACATCCACAAGTCAAGAGGCCAGGGGTGAAGTATCTGGCTATCCTGAAATTAGTATAGAAACATCTACAGTCCACGAAACCAGTGGAGAAACATCTGCCTTTCCTGAAATTAGCATAGAAACTTCAGCAGTCCATGAAATCAGTGGCGAAACTTCTGCATTTCCTGAAATTAGCATAGAAACTTCCACAGTGCATGAAATAAGTGGAGAAAGTTCTGCATTTCCTGAAATTAGAATAGAAACATCCACAAATCAAGAAGCCCGGGGTGAAACATCTGGCTATCCTGAAATTAGCATAGAAACATCCACAGTCCATGAAACTGGTGGGGAAACATCTGCATTTCCCGAAATCAGCATAGAAACTTCGACGGTCCACGAAATCAGTGGAGAAACTTCTGCCTTTCCTGAAATTAGCATAGAAACTTCAACGGTCCACGAAATCAGTGGCGACACATCTATATTTCCTGAAATTAGGATAGAAACATCCACAAGTCAAGAAGCCCGAGGTGAAACATCTGCCTTTCCTGAAATTATCATAGAAACATCCACAGTTCAAGAAGTAAGTGGGGAAACTTCTGCGTTTCCTGAAATTAGAATAGAAACATCCACAAGTCAAGAGGCCCGGGGTGAAACATCTGCATTTCCTGAAATCAGCATAGAAACATCCACAGTCCGTGAAAGTGGTGGGGAAACATCTGCATTTCCCGATTTCAGCATAGAAACAGCCACAGTCCACGAAACCAGTGGAGAAGCATCTGCGTTGCCTGCTGCTAACATTGAAACAGCTGCCACATCTTTGGCCAGTGGCGAGCCCTCTGGTGCTCCCGAGGAGAAGGAAATTCCTGATGCAGTATCTGGAGCTGGAACACACTCGGTCGCAGGCATTTCTGGGGAAACCTCTGTCCCAGACATTGTAATTAGTACCAGTGCTCCAGATGTTGAACCAACACAGGGACCCGGGAACCCTGAAGAGGCTCAGCTCGAAATAGAACCTTCCCCTCCCGCAGTGTCAGGACAAGAGATGGAGACAGCTGTTGTTCTAGACAATCCTCATCTGCTGGCCACCACTACTGCTGCCCTGCCTCAAGTCTCACAAGAAGCAATAGATGCATTAGGACCCACTACAGAAGGTACTGTGTCTTCTTCTCACATGGAAGGGAACACACTATGGAGGGGAAGGGGAGGAGGGGGCAGAGCTATCATATTTTACTTCTTTTACAGCAGAGAAGATTAACAGAAGCAGGCTTGAGCAAAATATTACTGTGGTGGGAAGCCACAAACATGAGGTTTTCCACAGGTCATGTTCAACAGCTTCTGTCTTAACAAATGGTAGTTTGTGATTGGGCAGGTATTATTTTAACAAATGGTAGTTTGTGATTGGGCAGGTAATGCAATTATCCAGCCAGTGTAACTCATCCATAGAAGCCTCCCAGACCTCCCTCCTGCCTGCCCACGGCAATGCATGCCCCTGGGGAGAGCAGCAGAGGACCAAGTTCAAGGGACTCTGACCCTCACGCTGCTCTCTGCAGCTAGAACAGGCTAAATGTGTGAGACGATGCTCAGAGCATCACTACCTTTTGTCAGGTCTGCTGATAAATGCCCTTCCTCCCACCCTGCCCTTTTTTGGTCTTTGGTAGGATCCCTCACTGCCAAGTATAAACAGACACAATATCTAAATCTGAGTAACCATTTATGGTGAAAACACTCCGCTAGATTTCTGACGAGCGTCCTCTGAGCAGTGTTCATGTGCCGTGGAGGCTTTAGGGTACTACAATGAGAAGAAAATGAGATGGGACTTTACTGTCCTTGCTGGTGGCTGATTCTTGGCCAAGGAAGAAGCCAGATGCCCGTAACACAGGATGTCCCACAACATCCCTGACCACAGCTTGGTTTCACTTTGCTGCAATCAGGAGCAGGCTCTGGCAACTGGTCCTTTTCAAATCCATCAATGCTTGTGCTACTGTATGAAGGTCCTACGTATGGCCAGTTCTCAATGAGCTGCACGTTTGTGTAGGATACATTTCTTATATATGGTAGGAAATGTATGTGCAAAGAGATTTGCTCAGGTCCTTCTAGCAAAAGTAATATTTATTTCACCCCCTTCCCACATTACCACCTGAACTGCTTCTTTTTTGGTTAATTTGCACCATTCAGCACAGGTAGCTCTGGACTCAGTAGGGGACTGTAAGTGCGGGGCTTTGTGAAGCTCAGCCTGGTTTCTAACATCATTTCCATCCCCAAAGTGTTGCGAATGAGTCACTGCCTTTTCCTCTGCGTCAATTCTCTCCCTCTGAGAAAACAGGTAATCACAAACCTTTGTTCAGTCCTGCTCGTACCACGTCTGAGGTCCTGTCCGTCTCTGCCGAGCCCAGCGGATGCTGCAGGGGTGGGTGAGGGCAAGTCAGCGGGGTTGTTCCTGTGGCACTGGTCCAGCCTGGCACAGCATCCATCCATGCGGGGGTTACACACCCCAAAAGCCCTCCTTGCACACCTAATGGGCTCTGCTTTTGGGCCATGCCCATTGCCACGTCCAGGCCTGGAGACAAAAACAAGCCAGCCAAGGCAGAGTTGAGGGAAAAGAATGAAACTAGCCAGTGAGGCTCAGCACAGAAAAAAAAAAAGAAAAAAATTTTAAAAAAACATATTGGCCCCAAAGTACGGTTTTATTTCACTGCTTTTTCTTTTTATAAATTACCCACAAGGCGATTGCCAGATTCTTCGGAGCGGTTGTTAGCCAACATTCTTGTGAAGTATTTTGAAAGAAAACCATGTGTTCGGCAGCTCATGTGTGAAGAAGCTTGAAAAATGTTCTGAAATTGGAACATGTTGTGTATTTGCAAGTCACAGAGATGACGATGTAGCAGCTGGGGTTTCTGAGCAGGTGACAGAGAGAGGTAACCGACGACTGCAAGAAGTTAAGTTGTAGATGCTTTATAAACTAGAGATGGGCTTGAGAACACGTGCACGGCTGGTGCTCCCACCGGTGATATTCTAGGGTAAAACTTCTCTTTTTATTGGTAAGTTTCTTTATCCCTGTAGGGTTACATGCAGTCCTGGTCAGGGTCTGAAGGAAGCTCATCCAGGTGGAAAGAAAGTGTATTGACCATGAATGTGCAAAACCCCTGCAACAAGGAGAACTTCTTTTAGAGAATTAGAGCAAAGTGAAGACAAAAGAAGGGGGGCAAAAAGGAAAAATAATCATAGATTTCCTTTTTTGGGTCATTACTCTTTACAGTGCTCTGGGGATTGTGAACATGGAAAATCTACAAGGAAGAATCATAGGCTGGAACCCAAAATGTTATTTCCCATGTTGTGGCTGTGTTTTGACTTGAAGCTTTCCAGTCTTTAAATTTAGCTCTTGCAAAAAGATCAGTTCTAATGTCCATGACTTGTGCCTCAGAGTTTGTAGGGTGTAATGGATGCCCATTAAGTGCAATTAGTTTTTACTAACATTAAAGCACGGGTGAAGCTAGTTGAGCTTACGGAAGGAGCTCAAAGTGAGGAGCAGGGAGGCATGTGCCTGTTGCTCTCTTGTCCTGTCGTCGAAGGGTTCCAGTTAGACCCAGCAGTCTTTTTAAGTGGGTTGGTTTACAAAGAATGATATTTTTCTGCTCTGCTGTAGCCTCTACTTCTCTCTAAAAACCAGAGCCAAAAGCACAAGAAGACTGATGATTAACGCTTGGAGTGCCAGTATTTTTTAGTATTTAACCAAATTGAAGGCTGTGCATGTACAGGTCTTTAGTCAGCAGTTTGATTCCTCCATGAGGACAGGAACCCCACAGGCTTGAAGAATTGTCCATAGGCTTGGCTTTTTCAGCCAGAGTTTTGCCAACTCAGCGGGTCTTTTTGCTTCTGGTAACATTTGAAGACAAATAATTATTAGCTGAAAAAAGCATGTTGGCGCTTCAGTGAAAGGCTGTGGTTTGGAGCACTCTGACCAGTCAATGACTTAAACATTTCACTTAAAATGGGGGAAAAAGAGAAATGTGCTGAAATGGCAGATATTTATGTTAAGTTTTGCTTGTCTCTGGTGAAACAAGTTCATAGAGTCTGTTGCCTATGGCCCCGACACAGCTGAAGGTTAGAATCCAAATGAGGAAAGATCTTGACAGTCTTTCCTCATTCCTCATGCCTTCAAAGTGCAAAGGAGAGAGTTTTGTTGGTCCAGAGAAGATCAACCCAGAAGTAAAGAAGTCTAGAAGAATTCACCTGATTCCTATTTTTTCACCTAATGTGGAATGAGAAGTATAGTCTTAAGAAGGAGATGGAGGCACCAGTCCTGGCTGAGAGACAAGCAAAGGCACACGCCATTTGTGGCTAACCAGATGATTTGATGTCTTCTGGATATATTGTTTATTTTGCATTAGAAGTTTATTAGCCTAATTAAAACTTTTCTCTGAAGAAGCAGTCTACAGTCCTGGACTACTGTTATATACGTGTCCTTTTAGTTCTACACATAATATTTTAGAGGCAGAGGTGTCCAAATTTCCTGAGCTCCCCTTCCATGAGAGTGTTGGACAAATCGAAGGTCCCAGCAGATCAACAAGTTCTCCTGGAAACTTGCTGTTCTCTAGATGAATATGGCTTTTTAAGGCTGTAGCAATATCTGCCCCTTCTGCTGCATGTAGTTTTATTTGGCTTAATTATTGTAGTTTGGTTTAATTATTGTAGCTTTGGTTTAATTATTGTAGTTAATTATTTTAATGACTCAAGTGCTCATTATAAGTCACTAGCTGGCTATGTGATGTTTGATGCCAGTATTTTACTTAAAATATGAAAGAACTGTTCTCCCCAACTCCTCCTCTTCTTTTCTTGTAGGAGTCACCCTACAATTGCTCCAATGTTTTTCTTCCCTGTTTGAGCTGTCAGATTGTCAGTTCAAACTTCCCAGGAGTCTCTGAAAAGCAAATTTAATTTGTACCTGTGTTGTGTTTTTTTTCCTCAGTCTCTAGAAGATAATTATCTAGCAGGTCTCTGAGTCCCTGTTTGGATAATTGCACTTATAAGGAATAAGGAGGAGCATTTACTTAGAAAGAGTGAGGGGCACAACAGGGACTGTTGGACATTCTGAAAATGTCTTGCCTTTCAGTCTTACCTTTTCCTCTTTGCAGAATGAAAACAGGAGTTTAAATCCCAGTGTATATTTCTAAACCGATTGCTCAGGGTTTGGGTGATGGCACCCTCTCTGCTCACAAGCTGCTTCTCCTTAGTGGATGTTTTAAGCATAAAGCTGACCTTGTTGAATGGGTGTTCTTACTCATCTTCCATACAGGCTGCCACCAAGAGAAACACACAGACTGTACTATTTTAGCATTGTTTCTAGTATTGTCTTCTTAGCTTGGGATGAAGGATTTTAAAAGCATTTCCTTCTCACAGCTGACAGTGTGTGTTCATTTCTGCATGCCATTTGCCTTCTGAGCAAAACCAGGACAAATCTATTTCTCTTTCATTTCTAAAGCATTTTTCTTTCCAATTTCCATGATCTAGTAGAGCAAATTGTTTTCAAAGGCATTGGGAGAATACTTATGTTGTATTCAGCTGCACCAAAAGAAAATAGTTCTGACCAAACATAGTACGTATCTGGCAATGTAAAAGAAATCTTAGGAAGAAAATGGTGAAACAAATTCAAAGTTTGCGTTGTAGCTATGTGACTCTCCTTGCTTTCCCCAGCCAACAGTTTACATCTTCCAGATGCAATACCCTGTTTACATTGGATATTTTGTTTCAATTGTTTTTTGGTTTTGTTTTTTTTTTTAAATCTAGAAGTTAGACCTTGGGTTCTGTTGGTAGCAAAAAATAGAAATTGTTGTGACAATAGACTTGAGTAATCTTTTGCAACTTCTGGGCAATATTAACTGCAGTACGAATCGTCTTCTGAAGAGCTGCTAATTTTGCATTATCCGAAGAAGTGAGTTAATAATACGTTCTAAATGGGCTTCCTATTCTTGGCAAAGCAAGGCATTTTTCTGCCCTGTCTTTGTTTCAGAGCTGAAGCTCTTGAAAGCGAGGGCTGCCTCTGTTCCGCATCCCATGCCGCATCGCTTGTCCTTTGTTAGCGCCGGGTAATAATAGCAGGAGTCTTGTCTTCTTGTCGGTTGATAAGCACTTGAGCTGCATCTCAAAGCAGAGATGGCTTTTTGCATGGCTGCTCACCCAAGCAAATAAATAGCTCGCCTCTGCGTAAGATCCTTGGGTGTCAAGGTACCTGGCAGCCGGTGCCGTGGAAGCGGGGGCTCGCTCCAGGCTGAGCCGAGCTGGCACATCTAGCGTGCCGCAGGCTTTTCAGCTGCCTGGAGAGGTGTACAGTGATTTACTAACCCCATCTAGCTCTGTAGAAGTGGCCACGTTTATGGTATATAAAAGGTTATGAGGAAAATAAGCAAATGTTGCATGATAGATGGGATTTACTATTTTTTTTTACTGGAGTTCTCACCTCCCATAAATCCAATGGCTTAGATGTGATATCTTAAAAACACCCACAAGCCAACTTGCCAGGGTTTCCAGAACAGTTTTACCGTTTAGAACTTACTTTTCTAAAAGACCTCCAAGACCCAGGTTTTCCGGGAGGACCAGAATCATCAGTGCTTTCTCCAACCCAGTGGATATGTATGAGGTTCCTGATAACAGCTTGGTGATGGGATTCTACATCCAGATGGAGACGGTGTCACCGCCCCAACAACCCAACAAGCTGAAGGGGGAGTGTGGTGTTTATGATCATCATGTGTTCAAAACATCTTCTTTGCAGCATGCTTCTGGGAAGAAAACCTGTCTGAGTCCTGCTTGTGTTTGTTGTCTCTTTTTCCAACACTGCCGACAAGTACACACCCTTTGTCTATGTGTCATACATAAAAATATATATGTATCTGTATGGAGAGATATATAACATATATATTCTATTCAGAGATTTGTTTTTACAGAATATATAATATGTTCAACCATATTATATACAATATCTGTAAAAAGAAATTCTGTTCCAGTGTTATTTCCCAGCTGGAAATTTGTGGGAATGACTTTGCACATGTGTGCCTGCTCCCTCCTCCTCCGAGACCAGTGATGGCAACTCACAGCAGGTCTCCTGCATCTCAGAAGAGATCTTGGATGCGCCAAGTTTTGGTCCACATGGCTGAAGACAGTTGAAGACTCGTTATTGCCCGCTAAATGTTCTGCTTTAGCTCTCATATGTGCTTTGTTTCCACTTCTGCAGCATGCTTTCCACTTCATGGAGCATAACTGACAAAGGAGAGCCTTGCCTTACTTGTTCAGCTGGAGCCCGCTGGAATCAACATGAACTTCTGCTGCCACTGCTGTTGGGAAGCCCAATGGGCCTTTAGAGTTGCAACCATCTCTCAAGATACCTCATTTTCCTTTATGCTCTCTGTCTCCTAGGAACTCCAAGTATGACTAATAAGCCATAGTCAGCCAAGTTCATCTCCTTTCTCTCCACCAAGCCTGTGACCCCCATTTTGTTTCAGAAAGTCTCTAAGGGTCATGGAACAGGAATTCTCTTCATGTTTCAGTGAACAAAGAAATCCAGAAAGCATTCATGAGAATTTAGAAGGGCAATCCAGAGGAAAAGCTTCCTTCTCTCAGGGAAGAACGGCAAACTTGAAGTAAGAAGTTCATCACCCATCAGAGGAATAATTGGATTGCTCACAGTGATACAGCCTAGGCTAAAGATGACAATCTTCATCCTCCAAAACACAAAGGAATTTACCATCCAAGCTCAGAAAGAATTTTCTCCATCACTTAGGCATGCTACAGAACATGTCATCTTTTATTTGAGAGATCAGACATTGGCCACTGAGCAACTAGACAAGGTATAACATGCATATGCTCTCATATGTCTGGGGACATAGAGTAGCTGGGCCATGGTTCTGTAGAGAGACAATATCCAACCAAACGTACCCCAACCAGAAGATGAACACAGACCCTGGCGAGTCGCCACTCTGGTATTTCCATAGCCAGCATGTCTATCATCTTTGTTTCCTCACTAACCCCTCTCATCCACAAGAAGAGCATGGAGTGTTAGCACTTTTAAGGCCTTACATTTCTTCTGAGCGTGAAAGAGAAAGGTTGTCTCGCATGAGGATCTATCAGTCATCATGTAACCTAACCTGCATGGATGTGCTCCCAGTTTCTTCTTTAGTCTTCCTCCCTGTTTCTGCATTGAACATCTCTGAAATCTTTCCATTCTGAATGACTCTTCTTCTGATTACAAATCTCAGTAAGTAGGAGTAAGGCTCAGTCTGGAGAAATACTGGGAGAAGAGCTTTTACTTCCAGCACAAGCTAGATTTTACAATATATAGATACAAACTGGCTAGCTGTGGCCTTCAAAGCATCTCTGCTTCCTTCCTTCTGCCCCAAGATGACAGTGGATGGAAGTGCTACCAAATGGTGGCATAAACCACCCAAGCTTGTGCTAATTAACAACTTGAGAAACATTGGAGAGTTGGGGGCCCAAACTCTTCCCATACCAACTTCTCTTTTCACCTCCAGAAAAGCAAAAAGGATCTTAAGGTCTGTTCTATCTAGATGGGAAGCTAAATTTAGTTCCCTCCACCAAGACAGAATTCACAGCTGAAAAATGTACCAGCTTTTTCCTGCCACATCACAATCAAAAGAGCGCATAGTGGGGACATGTCTGGAGAAAATGGCACTGCACCCCAATATTCTTCACCAGGGAAGAGGCACCCATGCTAGGCCTAAGCTCCTCAAAGAGAAAAGTTGAGGGACTCTGAACCACCTTGAAACCACTTCTGTTCTTCTCTGCACTCTCTTCATCTTCATCAAGAAGAGATTTTTTGCCCCGGAACTTCATCTGAGTAGGAAGAAACTAGCAGTGAACACTGGCAACCAGGAAGTCTGATTAGGAGATAGAGATCTATTTCAAGACGTTTCCATAACTTATGAGAATTCCACATTCTTCTTCTTAGACCCATAGCTGATGGAGACACAGACACAAGTTTGCATGCTTGCTGCATCACGTATAGACAGCAGACAAGGAAAAGTTACCACAGCTATCAAAAACACTGAGTGTGTGTATTGGATACATCTTTCTGAGCTTGTACTGATATCTTCAGAGTGGTGTTCAACCATCAAGTGACAAAAAAACCAATGTCTTCCTTGTAGGGTGGGTTGGGTCTCTTCCCTTCCTTCTTCCAGCAGCAGCAGTGGCAGTGTGTTTTAAAATAAGACCCTAGTAACGCCCAAGTTCCCCCAAAACAACTGATATTGCCTCCTTAACAAGCAAGGAAACAAGTTCTCCTGTTGGTGGAGTTGTCTGCCCAGAGCCCTAATGGAAGCCCTTGATTTCTTGCAGACACTGATGAGTGCCACTCAAGCCCCTGTCTGAATGGAGCTACCTGCGTTGATGGCATCGACTCTTTCAAATGCTTATGCCTTTCCAGCTACGGAGGTGACCTGTGTGAGATCGGTACGGCCTACCTGGCTTCAGCTAATCTTACTAACTGCTGCACTACCTTATTCCCACCCTACCCCGAGAAAAGCTGATCCCAAGTGATCCCAACAGTCCTGCCCTCATCTCAGTGAGCTAACCCCTAATTGCAGCTTAAAATACACTAGGGAAAAGCTTTGAGATTTTTGTTTTCATAATTTAATTAGTTTGTCCGTCACAGCACCTTGTCATCTAAGATTCCTAAGCAGGAGCCTCTAGTGTCTTCTTCAGCTTTCTCTCTTTTAAGTTACTCTGTTGAGGCTCCATACAGATCGTATCAATATTGATCACAGAAGTCACTGTCTCTTTGGGTCAGGGGTCTTTCTGTTCATCTGTAATGGTAGGGAAACATCTGAGTACCTCTTCACCCCAGGCAAACTTTCTCTGCTGGACTGGAATTTCATGGAAGGATGCTTCAGCTGAGCCATGAAAAACGATTGTGTTTCTCTCTGTGAAGATGCAGCTGAGAGAAGCCTTGTTCACTCCGGGAATCTCCACTTATTTGACACAGCTTGACATTTTTGTCACCTCTTCAATGTGGCCTCCTGTGTCAAAACCAGCAGGGAACGTATATCTTTGAGAAAACATGAAGTGACCTATTTTTCCATCAAAATTAAATACTCTGACCTGCACTAATACTTCTTTTTGTTTCTACAAGGAAAGAAAAAGAAGTTGTTTTTTTTCTTAAAGCTGATGAGAGTCCAAACTTTTATCAGCTTAGCTGAAGGGAAGCTCTCCTGCCTTGCTCAAACAAAAGAGAAATAAAGTTGCGGTGTCTTCTTCACCTTAGCAGAAGTAATATTAATATATATTGGATTTTCTCCTCCCCTTTCTCTGCATCTCTCTTTCTGCTTCCAATATGAACACATGGAGTAGACCATGTGAGAAGGCGGCTCAGGATCATTGGACTGTCTGGGTAGGAATTGTGCCTTCTTATCATCTCTTTCTTGATGCAACCTCATCAGCCCCTGATTTTTCCATCCCTGCTACCTGTTGTTGAAGATCCTTGAAATCCAACAAGAGACTTTCTAACCTGCAGCTGCTTATGATTTTGTTTGGTCCAAGCCAGATTTAATTTCGTCTTTTCTGATTTATGGGCTTATGATGCCTGGGGGTTATAGCCTGGGAGATGCAAGAGGAAGCCAGTCTCCAAATTCAGAGGAGAATGTGGATCTCCACTATTCCCATGACACGGACCATCCCTTCTGTTGATCTCCAAGAAGAGCAGAGCTTCGTAGGTGAGCTCTGCCATCTGTGCACACAACCAGTCCTTCTTGTCACCTTGACAGTGTCCCTACCGGGGCACAAGATTTTTGTCATTCTTTTCCTAGATGATTGCTGTCATATTTCCCTGTAAGTAACAGCTATGTAGGAAAGAGTGGCCTTTCTCCTAGGAAATGTCCTGCTGAGGTTCCATGCCATGTGTTGTGCCATCCCCAGGCTGTGATGACAAGGGGTGGTCCTCAACCTGCTGGAAAAAAGTTGTAAATGTCAAAAGACAGAGCATGTTCTCTGCTCTGTGATCTGCCTGCAAAGATCAAGAGTCCTTAGAGCTTCAGCTACTTCCAGATAATCCATTTGATCTGTTGAAGAAGGTGGAAAATGTTTTTAATGCTTCAACTAACTACCAGTCCTTCCACTGAAGTGTCTGCAGTCTCCAGCTGGAAGAACACCAGAAGAGTGGATTAGGAGGAATCAGTGCAATTGAAGGTGGCAAGTGCTTTGATCTACCAAGTTTGACAACAGAAGAAAGAAACTGAATACAGAAAATCTTACTGGAACGGGACAGAGGCTTGAGGACTCATGAAAGCCCACCACTTCAAGAGCAGCAAGTGCCTGAGAAAGGATGGTAGATCAGGCATCTGAAAGGCTGAGGTTAAACACATTTCACTTTGTGTTTTCTTCAGTCCCATGGAGAAGATGTGGAGTGTTGCATTGCATGGGAGCTGCTGAAGGCCTTTTCTGATGGTTACTCCATTCACCTTTGCTCTCTCCCATCTGTGGTTTCATTTTTTTTAACTAATGGGTTCAACTCTTCAGTGTTTCTCAAATGGAAAAACTGAAAAATTGAGACATTTTTATACTCCTCTAGCAGCTTCCAAGCTTTTTCCTTGAGATTTCATTTTCTCTCTCCACCATGGTAAGTTCCTGCCTCCGTCTCTTCTCTCCGATGTTGGTAGATTTGCTTCTCCTCAAAAACCCCAGAACTACACCAAGTGATGAGACCCAAACCTGACTCTCCTTTCCTCTTTCCTTTTCAACATATATAGGTTGATTCTGGACATCTGGATCTGGGTTTTGGAGTTTCTTTCCAAAGCAAAAAAGTACAAGTGGGAAGAGAGGGGTTCTTATTTGGTTCGTTCCTAAAAACAGAGTCCAGGAACATGACACAGGGATTGAACTGCTCTGTTACTGTGAACATGGGATCTTCAACACAGGCTCCCCTCTCTGCATGTGTCTTAGATGCCTTCTGATCATTTTCCCTGGGATTTCCCACAGGCAACAGTGTCAGAATTTGCTTTTTAGTGGAAGTAACCACGTGTTGTCCTATGCCATGAGAGCATAAGCTGCTAAGAGGTGAGTTGTAAGGCTTCCAGACTCATGCACCAACTCCTTTCCATCCCTCCTTTGTGTGTTTCAGACCTTGAAAACTGTGAGGAAGGCTGGACCAAGTTCCAGGGCTACTGCTACAGGCACTTTGAAGACAGGGAGACTTGGATGGATGCAGAGAGCAGATGCCGACAACATCAAGCCCACCTGAGCAGTATCATCACCCCAGAGGAGCAAGAATTTGTAAACAGTGAGTGCTGAGGGCAGCCTGAGACTGGGCAGGGGTCTATCCCTTGGACTTTCAGTCTGTGGGCAGACATATCTAAAATTATATCAAAAACACAATTTCTCCTACTAATGCTCAGGTATCTCTTAATGAGGCCTCACCCTTGCGTAGGGGGGGAAGAACTGTCCTGCTGTGAGACAAAAAAGGGCCCTTTCTCAGCTAGGACAGATCTTCGCTCTTACCAACGTTGCTGATATGGCTTGTTCACAAGATGTTCATTTGCTGCAAAAAGCACAGTGACCTATGCCAGCATGAGTGTCTCCATGCTGAGTGGGGCAGGAGATGGACAAGCACAATGCAAGTTAAAAAAGGACACCAGGGGCTAGCGACTGGGAAGGAGATGAATGTCCCAGAGGCTCCAGGGCCAGAGACAACTGAGATGGCAAAGAAACACTTCCAACAAGGTGTAGGGGAGTCATGACCCACTCTTCTCTCCCTGGCTCTTGCCCACTCTTCTCTCTCTGGCTCTTCCAGGTCACGCACAAGACTACCAGTGGATCGGCCTCAGTGACAGAGCTGTGGAGAACGATTTCCGCTGGTCCGATGGGCACTCCCTGGTGAGTCTTTAGCCCAGAGCATGAGCAGGCACTGGCTTTTCATGGGGGGCAAGGGGCTCCCCTTGGGTGGAAAGAGCCCCATGAGTTACATGATGAGTGCTTGGGTTCGGCATTGCGTGAAGGCAGCCCTAAACTTTGTAGGCCTCTAGTAAAGGTGGTCTGGTAAGCTGCTGGGCACCATCGCAGTAGAAATAACCACGGTAGTAGCATTGCTGGGAACCCATGGTCTCTGCTGGTGAGATGCATGCGCAAGGCAGCAGCAAGGCTGAAGAAGACAGTAGGAGAGGGGAGGGCTCAGCCTTAGGCAAAGGACTTTCCTCTCTCGGCAGCAATTTGAGAACTGGCGGCCCAACCAGCCCGATAACTTCTTCGCGGCGGGTGAGGACTGCGTTGTGATGATCTGGCATGAGCAAGGAGAATGGAACGACGTTCCCTGCAACTATCACCTCCCTTTCACCTGCAAGAAAGGAACAGGTCAGAACCCTGCACCACACCAGCAAGGATGGGGGGCTCAGGCAACGGCTGTGGGGCTGGAGTGGAGTCCCCAGTGCACATGAATGGGGGGTTTATCACTGGGTGGTCAAAGAGGTGGAAGGATTCAGCAATAGATGTTGGCCAAGGCTTTACGGGAAAGTTTGCTGAGGGCTTGAAAACAAATAACATGAGCCACCAAGGACGGGGTTTTACATCCCCGAGCAGAGCCATGCCCTGGCTGCAGCATCACTCCCACACAGCTCCGTTGTGGTGCCCAGCTCTCACTGCCTCTCCAGGAGGCAGGAATGGAGCCCTGAGGCAGACTGCTGCTTAGTTTCAAGGCCCATCACAGAATTTTCATATCCTTCTGCCCCTAATTTTTGTTCACAGAGGCAATCTCAAAGGGATTTAAGGTTTTATGTGCAGGAGGAGTGACCAGGCTGTGCATACCCAGCCTGCACTAGGCAGGCAGGAGCTGCCCACTCAGCCAAGCAAGACTCCTCATGCTCTCCATATCTCTGCCCATCTCCTGCAGTGGCCTGTGGGGACCCCCCTGTGGTGGAGAACGCCAGGACCTTTGGTCGGAAGAAGGACCGCTATGAAATAAACTCCTTGGTGCGGTACCAGTGCGACCAAGGCTACATCCAGCGCCACGTGCCCACGATCCGGTGCCAGCCCAACGGGCAGTGGGAGGAGCCGCGGATATCCTGCATAAACCGTAGGTTTTCATCTCTTTCACCTTCAGGTTAGGGCTGATGGATCCCTGCAGCTGGGAGAAGCAGCTGGGAATGAGGGGGGCACCATCTTAGGGTGCAGGTTAGTTCCAAGACAGGTAGAACGGGATATCATGGTCCCCTTGACTTGTTGAAAGCTTCTGTGTGATGGGCCCATGGGAGCTGGCATCTTCTGGGCAGGTGAGGACCACGGGTGCTGGCTGGAGGGCCAGCCCAGGCAGTTCCTGCCCTAGGAATTCCCTACCCCTAGGCAGGGCAGGGGCAGATCCAGAGCCAGGAAAGGGCTACAAGGGTCTTACCAAAGACCCAGACTACTTGAAGAAAGGAAAGAAAAATAAGTGGCATCTGAAAGGGTGAGTTTTGGCACCACCTGCATCAGCAGAGATAATAGGAGGAGGAAGCTGTGGTCCCCCCAAGCTCTTCCCCAGCATCCCCCTGCCCTGGGAGCAGACAGGAGCCCTGCGGCAGAGCTAAGCCAAGGGACAGGGCTGGGCTCCTGACCCTTCTTCTGTCACGCCTCCAGCTGACAGCAGCCAGCCCTCTCCCACTGGTGTCCCAGCCCACTCCCAGGCCTGCCTACACCCCTGTCCCATCCCTGCTCGCCTGCAGCTTCCCAATAATTTTGTCGGCCTTGGCCAAATCACATCTGTCCAGTGGCCTCCTTGCCAGGTTATGGTCCAGCTGGGCAATTCCAGCTCAAGCAACAGTCCCACTGCCAGGGAAAGTCGATATGGGCTTAAGGGACAAACCTCCGCCCCAGGGAGGAGACGGAAGGAGAAGGAATGAAGGAGGGATGGGAGTGGAATGGAGGAGGTGTCCCTATGATGTGGACTCCCTTGGCTCGGCCGTGGACCTTGAGAGCTGCAGGCTGCTCCTGGTATGGACCACCAGCAATCAAGAGACTTAGGCTGTTCCCAACCAGCTTTTGCCTCTTCCATCAAAACCCTCCTGGAAGTACCAGACCAGAGTGGTACCAGCTTGGAGGGAGACTGGCAGCAAAGATCAGGCAGAAACCTTGTCCCTGCCAGCCAGATGGGGCCATTTCCCATCTTGTGCACTGAGCACATCCCACTGCCGATGGACATTTCCCTCCCTGTCCCAGGGGGTTGGGGAGGGTCTGGCAGGACAGGGAGGCAGACGGGGAAGAGGTCCCCATGCCCACCCAGTTACCAGAGCTGCCCTCCCAGGTGGGCACAGGGAAAGGATGGGCCAAAGCATCCCCAGAGATGATGCTCCTGCCCAGGCTCCTGGTAGTCACCGGGCACCTCCAACCCCTGGGTGAAGCAAAGCCCAGCTGCAGGGGTGAGAGAAAGGCTGATTGTCCGTGGGCAGGCAGGCTGGCGCCGGGGCACACACAGACACCCACCGGGCAGCGCTGCCTGCGGCCGCCCGTGTTTTTCCAGGGAACCAGGGGCCAGGGCGGCCAACGCGGGACAAGCAGCGTCTCTGTCCCAGCTCCTGCTAACAAGGTGCCTTTTCTTCTCCTCCTTCTTCCACAGCCTCCAACTACCAGCGCAGGCTATACAAGAGGAGCCCCAGGAGCCGGTCGAAACCCAGCGGCAGCGCCGTGCACAGACCCACCCATTAGAGCGGGGCCAGAGACACCCGGGAGGAAAGCGAGAAAGAGAGATTTTTTTTTAACAGAACAGTTATATTAACAGAGTCGATTTCTTCTTCTTCTTCTTGCTTTTTTTGTCATATAAGGAAAAAAAAAAAAGTTATATTAAAGACAAACCCACCTTTGTGTATATATATTAAAAAAAAAAATAATAATTAATGTTTTTCCAAGCACCAAAGCAAAGTGAATTAGATCTCAGCATTTTTACTAACCGTCCGGTTCCAATTATCTTCGTGCCTTCGGGGACAGGGAGGGGGGTGGGTTTGCAGAGGGCAGGGGGTTAAGTTAAATAATAAAGATGATTATTTTTTCCTGATTTTATCCACGAACAATGTAATTATTTCTGTTATTTAATCTCCGGGGTGAACAGCACCTTTTGGGGTTTTATTTTATTATTTTTTGGTTGTTTTTTGTTTTTTCCAGAATCCTCCTACTGCTGCAGTGCGTCGGGGCGGGTGGGGAGGGCCGGGGGGGCTGCGGTGGAAGGAGCTGTGGGAGGAGGGAGGAGAAGGGATGCTGAGACCCGGGACCCGGGCACTGGGGGCTGCAGCCCCTCTCTGCTTCCCCACCGCCCCCCCTGCGGCTCAGCGCCCGTCCTGGGACGACGTGCTCTTTCCAGGGGACCGTGCGGGGCACCAGCGTTCCCTGCACCTATTTATATTTTTTGAACATATCCTATTTTGAAAGAATGATAAATAATAAAGAGAGTGAAATCGGAACGGGCACTTCGTCTGCGTTGGTTTTTTTGGGGAAGGGGGAGCGTCTGTGTGGGTGAGGGGGTGGGGATGTCTCCTGTGGCAAGGCAACAAGAAAGGAAGAGGAGCCCAAACAGGGTGCTCAGCCCCAGCCAGCACCAAAGGTGCAGCCCTGGGGACAATGGAGGTCCAACTGAAGAAGGACCCTGGGGTAGGACATCACCACCCTGTTCAGGTCTTGCCCCAGGAGCAGGTTAACCCACATGCCCAAAAACCCATCTAAAAACCATCAGCAGCAAGAACTGCTTCACCCTCCAGCTTTCAGTCCTGACAACCAGGGAGATAATTAACTTTCATTAATGAAGGAACATGGGGACCCTTGCAGGAGCTCAGGCAGGCAGAGGGCTGAGCCAGCAGCGATGAGACAATGCTCAGCCAAGGATGAGACAGTCCTGGGTGTCCATCCGGGGATCCCCAAATCCCCTCTCCATGGCAAACCCCTCTCTTGTGCTGGCACAGAGATGGGGACACAGCCACGTGGCTCCAGGGCTTTCTCCACCAATTTATTAGAAGAGGTCCAGGAAAATACATCTTTTCATAAACAAATTCTTTAAGAAGAAGGCACCAGAGTTCAAGTGGAGTCCTGGCGAGGAGTGCATGGAGATAAGGCACTGGCACTCCTGCAGGGACAGGCACAGCAGCATCCTTCAGTGGGACAGGGCTGGAAGAGGGGCCAGGATGCAACGGAGATGCCCACTCTCTGGCCAAATCCAGCCTCCCCTTGCTCCCACCCCACAAGCTCAGGGGCAGGACCAGCCTGGAAGGGCAGGTGGGTGTCAGTGACATGCATGCTGCCACCATGGGAAGGGGCCACCACCCACGGGATGGCAGGGGCCAAGCAGGGTGGCAGCAGCCCATGGGGATCATCCTCATTCACAGCCCATGCCAGGGCGGGTCCTGCACTGCCCCGTCCGGCAGCCACCCCAAGCAGCTGCATTTCCAGCTGCTGAGCAAGATGTGGAAAATATAAAGGAAACAAAATAAAACAAAA